CCCCCTCCCCCCCCCCCCCTCCGCAGGAAGCACAAGCGGAGATGCTCAGCCTCCAACAAACACCCCCCTCGGCGACAAGGGCAGCTGCTGAACCGTCCTCCGTAAGACCGACCAGTAAAACTACGTCCTCGCCCTTCAGAGTTGAGGTCCCCGCCGCCGCTCCGTCGTGGGGTTTCAAAGTCAGCTTGCCGGCCATGCCGACCTTCGGAACCACAGGGAGGGACAACGTCGTCGCTCTGACCGGCCCGGCGTCTCAAAAGGGGCAAGGTATTCATTTGCTAAGCTCCGTAGAGGCACCCAGCTGTGGGAGTGTCTCCCTGTCTCCCAAACGCTGCTTTTTCATTCATACGTAGAAAAATGCCCTGGGAATGCTACTATTTGCTTTTTATTTGTCAGCTGATTTTCTTCATTCTGTGGGGATGGACTTCGAAAGATGGGTCCCATCTTCCCCAGGTCTGTGGGAGGGCGATCGCCTCTTTTTCACACTCCGCCGGTTTTTACGATGCTGCTATACGCTAACAAAACTCCTTTGGCGTGCACAAATGCAAGCAAGTTTGAAATCGTGGGGTGGCCTTCTTCCTGTGTGTGATGCTTGCCTAAACGTTCAAATTCCGAAACGTGCAGCATGACGGCCGGAATACTCTATTAGATGAGATGACAAACTCATCCTGTTGTTGTTGTTGTTGTTGTTGTTGTTGGTAAAACACAAACACCTTCACCCTTGTGTTGTGTTGATGTTTGACAAAGGACCGATAACGGACGGCCAGCCTGAGGCGGCAGACGAGCCGCGCAGCAGGGCAAAGAAACGAACCAAATCCCGGAGAGTAGACGCGGCAGTCTCCGGAGCTACTGCTACTACCGCGGCCGTGGACCTGAAGGCAGAGCTGCGCGCAGAGTCCGAAAAGGCCGCGCTGCTGCCGTCCCCTCCGCAACGGGCGAAGCAGCAGCGGCAGCAGCCACCGGCGATCTCCGGAGATGTTGCTGCTGCGCCGAAGTACGTCGCCCCGGCGCCTCTGTATGAACCGGCGGAGGAAGGGGTGACGTCATCGACGTCGCCTGCGAAGGGGGTGGCGGAAGGCGTTCCTGGTGTTGGTGCGGGGGGGGAAGAGAAAAGCGGCGGGGGATTGGAGGGGGTCACGGCGGCCGCGCGTGCCTCGCTGGAGAAGCTGGACTTGAGAGACGTCTCTCAACAGGTACTTCGTTTTTGTTGTTTTTGTTTTTCTACAAACAGGTTCATCTCTTCCACAAATACTGTAGAGAGACCGGGATAGACTTGCAACGAATTCGTAGATAGGTGAGGACCAAACTTGTAATTATACGGTTCCCCGGGCGTACCTTTCGTGTTTGTCAGAGCCGGAATACACGCTAGGTTGCGTGCCCCCTACCCCTAGTTCAGTAAAAGAACGTTCCCCGGAACGTATGCAAATAGCCATTTTTCTCCCCCGTTTTCTGGCTGGCGGAAACGTTCTCGATTCACGTTGTACCCAGGGTCGGGTTTTCTTTGCCGCGTCTGTTGCGTCAGTCTCCACGACATCACCGGTAGAGATCGGTTGCACGTCAACCGATCATTGGAATCCAATACCATTAGACTATATATTTCGTCGATGGGCCACGAACTGTCTAGATCGACCCACTTGTTTACGTGTTGCTTTCAGCGGCGGCTGCAGTCGCCACGTTTCTCCACACAGACCAGGCATCGAGATCATATTGCGGGTTCCGCCAGGTGCCGCGCGGCGGGTTTAGTTGAACTTTCGCATGTGTATGACTTACCTTTGTCGCTCTCAACATCGACCTTTCCCCCGATGACTGTGTGTGGCAGGTGAAACCTTTCACCGAAAAGGTCGGGAGTGCTTCCGAAGCCGGAGTGGCCGCGGTACTGGAGCAGGTATTGCATGTGTCAAGGCGTGCGGGTCGACCTGCAGTAGCAGCAGCAGTAGCGCTGTCGTCCCTCCAGGGGTAAACTTAGCTTACGTGCCAAGCGATGACCGCCTTTATCTCCTGTCGGTCCCGCAGATAATGCTACCGTTGAAAATTCTACCGAGGGTGCCAAGAATCTAGTCGAGATCACGCCCGCTCAACACCGCACGTGTTATGGTCGTGATTGTCCCGCTTCGGACTCCTCATACGCATACGCATCCTCACCCCCCCCCCCTCCCCCCGGAGAGCCCCCCCCTCGGTGTTTGCCATCGGGATTGGGTTTTCGTCGCTTGGCAACGACGTTGTAAAACAAGCCAATTCACTTCGTGAACTCGGCAACCAGGTTGCCGGGTTTTTTTTTTACCTCTTTTTTTTTTGCGGTAACCATAATGGTGGTCGAGTAGATCATGTTGTGCGGGGCGGAGAACCCTCACTCCGTGCAAGGGGGATGATCGCACCACGTTGTGTTAAAATGGTCAAGCATCCTCGAGGCAGTTACACAGCGCTTACAACTGTCTCTGGAAGTGAAAGCACCAGAAAATAAATTAAGTCATACGCAGCTGTCATCCGTACGCAAGGAAGTAAGCACAAGATGCCGAACACCCTTAGCAGGATGCAGCTCACCCTTCATGCGACTCGCCAAATACCTCACGGCGCTTCGCGCTTGGTGATGTGAGAGCCTGGTCAGGTGAGAACCCGGCGTGCTCCGTCCCGGCTTTGTAGGGATGCGAAGTCAATGGTCTAACGACTACGGCATGCACGACTATGAGTACACCCCCCTCCCCCCCCCCCGAAGGGTCGCGCCAGCTTGGAGAACCTCCAGGCAGAGGCGGACCGCATCTCCGCACAAGTCGCTTCCCCGGTCGCAGACAAGCTCTCCGCCGGTAGCCGTCTCTCGGAGGCGTTTGGGCGCGGAAGGGACGGGGTCTTGAAGGCCGTCGGGGAGGCCGGGCGGGCCGTGGACCAGGGGGTGTCCGCGGTGTCGTCGAGATCAGCTGTGGTGGTGGATGGGCTTCCCGCCCTTAAAGGGCAAACCTCGGGACTGTCAGCACGGGTGGGTTGCGGTGGTTGAGAAGACGACTGGGGGTCGGTGTTCGTTGTGTTTTTCTTTTTTCTTGGTCGCGTTGGATTTAGCCTGCTACGGTCTAGAGCGAACGCCGTAGAGCAGCGAAGAAGGTTTCGCTCTGTTCTGCCCGATTACCCGAGATTCGCATGGTAATTTTGCGGTACTTTCCAACGCTGCAGATGTTTGGGTGTGTTTGTTTATAAAAATAAATAAATAATAATAATCAGGTATGGCGACGCAGAATCAGCGTTCACGGCCGAGTGGGAGCTAGCTCCAATTCGTGGTCACACAGAAGGGTTCCTCTTCCTCCTGCGGTGCTTGCCTCCGATTTATCACGCGAGGAGAAGCGTGCAGCTCTCGGTCTACCCTTGCTATACAGTACCGTACGCAGGAAGAGTTGTGTAGGCCGTGTGTGGTACTTGTACATGGGTGACGTCTGGGTGGCCATGGTGGGAGTTTGGAGTACAAGGAGGATGCAACATTAGTACGTTACCATCCGTGGTTGTCTTCACATCGTGAGTGGATGCGGCAATACAAGCAGTGCAACACCACGCCGCCACCCCAACCCCCCCCCCTCCCCTCCTTCCTCTCAAGGTCCCATGGTCCATGGGCTTACACACTCCACCCCTTATTACTCCCC